CTCTTCCTCCCTCTCTCTCTCTCTCTCTCTCTCTCTCTCTCTCTCTCTCTTATTTAAGAACAAATGCTAATTGGGGAAGATGCATTTGCCTGAAAACACTTTAGTCTATGTCTTAGTTAGGGTTTTATTGCTGTGAAGAGACACCATAACACTAAGGCAACTCTTATCCAAAAAAAAAAAAATTTAATTGAAGCTGGCTTAGAGTTTAGTCCATTATCAACATGACATGAAGCATGGCAGCCTGCAGGTAGACATAGTGCTGGAGGAGCCAAGAGTTCTACATCTTGATCCAAAGGCAGCAAGAAGACTGTGTTCCAACACACTGGGCATAGCTTGAGCATAAGAGACTTCAAAGCCAACCCCACAGTGATACCCTTCCTCCAACAAGGTTACACCTACTCCAACAAGGACCTCCTAACAGTGCCACTCACCATGAGCCAAGCATTCAAACACTTGAGTCTATGAGGACATAGCTAGTCACACCACCACAGTCTATATCCACGTTGGATGATTAGAGAAAGCACCAGATAGAGGGTAAAACTGAGACAGACTTACAGTGGATCCAGCGATTATTCTGGAGGTCAGAGATGACCTCACTGAGAGAAAGAATCTGGCAAGAACATATATGCACGAACACACACATACACACACACTATAAAATGAAAGAGACAGGTGAAATGGCTCAGGAGGTAAAGGCATATGCTGTGCCAGCTTGGTAACTTGGGTTCAATTTCTAGAACCCGTGAACGGGTGAATGCAGAGAGCTCCACACATGGCCCAGAGCCTCCCACGCTCACAATAAACCGAAGAACTTAGAACTCCTTAATCCGGTTACCATACCTTTTTACCCTCATGCCCACAATTTTATTAGTATAGTCTGTGGGTTATCCAACTAACCCCTTTTCCCCTGGAAATACTGAAGGTTGAATCTAGGGTCTCACAGATGCTGGCCAAGTGCTCTACACCTGGGCTGAAAACCCAGCCCTCTAAAGCAGTGATTTTTTTCCATGACTTTTAAAAAACAATGCTTTTATTAATTCTTTGAGAATTTCATACAGTGTATTTTTGATCAGATTCGTCTTCCAAATTATTTCAAGTTAATCACATACAGCTCTGCTTTCTTATTTCTCTAGGAGATGATCACGCGTTAGCCATTTGTCGCCCACCCGCCACTGCTCCTGGACTTGTACGTACTGTAGTCACAAGACACTCGTGAAGTATTCAACTCTCTGCAGTCCGATGGGGTCCTGCCAGGATTTTGTCTCTTAGAGTGTGCCGAGCACAACTTTCTAGAAAGGAAAGCACAGGGCAGGGCTGGGCTAGCGGGTAATCTGAAGAAGATCCTAGCCACCAGTCTCTGGGCTCCCGTGCAGATGCAATGGGCCACCTCCTTGCAGTTGTTTGTTTGTCCCTCTGATTCATCCATTGAACTTGTGGCCGCCTTTAGAAACAGGAGCAATAAGATACCCTCTGGAAATCAAAGAGAGGGAGAGGGCCCAAGTGATGGGAAGGTGGCAGCTATCAGGGCAGCTACCAGAGGTTCAGTCTTCTCTTCAAAGTCCTCACGGAGACCTGTGAGGACCCATCTAAATTGCTGTTTCCTCCATCCCATGTCAACTGGAGAAGTGTTTCTAGCAATATAGAAAAAGACGAAGATGAAGTGAAATTCCCTTCTCAGCGTTTTCCAAGCTGACAGCCATAGAAACACTGCCAGAAGCAGCAACAGCAACACCTTAACTGTCTCATCTGCCCCTTCAGTGCTCCAGTTCTTTGTCCCCCTTCCTGTCCTGTCTGACTTCAGCACTGGAGTCAGAGGGACTCTGACTGCTGGCACTAGGCATGGCCCTCGTCCACACTGCTCAATCCACCCCATCCCCCACTGGCATTCATTTCTTACCTACTTGCTCCTCAAACACACCCAGCAAGTTTTGGCCCCCTCAGATGTCCTCAGACATGTTGGCAGAGCCCATGTTTTCTCCAGTACTCGCTCTCACATTTGAGGGCTGGTCTGAAGCACAGCCTGCCATCTTCCCCCATCTGCTGGCCTAAGTGTTTCCCTCGAAGCATGTATTCAGTACCTGATATAATGTGCCTATTCATCTCCACTCCCATGGAGACCCTAGGAGGCCAGACACTAGACTCCTTTTGTTCAGTACTCCCAGTTCTCCAGAACACAGCTTAGCACACAGTAGGTGTTTAATAAGTTATTAAAAGATGGGCAATGAATCCATTGTCCTTAATGTGTGAAATCATGTCCTCTCAGAGGTGTTTGACAGCAGTATGCAGGCTGTGTCCTAAAGAACATGGGGGTCCCAGAGGGAAGATAGAATGCTGCCCCAGTGCTAATATGCTTGATAAAATAACATTCAGCCTCATCTTTTTCCTGTTTTGATCTTTTAGTCTGAGACACAGTGCTTTCCCATCAACCCAGTTTCTTCAGTACCTCCAAAAGCCACGCACAAGATGGCAGTCACATCCCCGACCAGAAGGTCACAGGTGACATCATCAGTAATAACTGCATCCAGCAGCAGCCCACCACAGGTGACATCAGAAACCTCTTCATCCAGCAGCCCACCACAGGTGACATCAGACACCTCTGCATCCAGCAGCCCACCCCAGGTGACACCAGACACACCTGCATCCAGCAGCCCACCACAGGTGACACCAGAAACCTCTGCATCTAGCAGCCCACCCCAGGTGACACCAGACACACCTGCATCCAGCAACTCACCCCAGGTAACATCAGACACACCTGCATCCATCAGCCCACCACAGATGATATCAGACACACCTGCATCCAGCAGCCCACCACAGGTGACATCAGCCACACCTGCATCCAGCAGCCCACCCCAGGTGACACCAGACACACCTGCATCCAGCAACTCACCCCAGGTGACATCAGACACACCTGCATCCAGCAGCCCACCCCAGGTGACACCAGACACACCTGCATCCAGTAGCCCACCCCAGGTGACATCAGACACCTCTGCATCCAGCAGCCCACCCCAGGTGACACCATACACACCTGCATCCAGCAGCCCACCCCAGGTGACACCAGACACCTCTGCATCCAGCAGCCCACCACAGGTGACACCAGACACACCTGCATCCAGCAACCCACCCCAGGTGACACCAGACACCTCTGCATCCAGCAGCCCACCACAGGTGACACCAGACACACCTGCATCCAGCAGCCCAGCACAGGTGACACCAGACACACCTGCATCCAGCAGCCCACCACAGGTGACATCAGACACACCTGCATCCAGCAACCCACCCCAGGTGACATCAGACACACCTGCATCCAGCAGCCCACCCCAGGTGACATCAGACACACCTGCATCCAGCAACCCACCACAGGTGACATCAGACACACCTGCATCCAGCAACCCACCCCAGGTGACACCAGACACACCTGCATCCAGCAGCCCACCACAGGTGACACTAGACACACCTGCATCCAGCAGCCCACCACAGGTGACATCAGACACACCTGCATCCAGCAGCCCACCCCAAGTGACATCAGACACCTCTGCATCCAGCAGCCCACCCCAGGTGACACCAGACACACCTGCATCCAGCAGCCCACCCCAGGTGACACCAGACACACCTGCATCCAGCAACTCACCACAGGTGACATCAGAGACACCTTCATCCAGCAGCCTACCCCAGGTGACAACAGCCACACCAGTACCAAACAGCCCACCATGGCCTGTGATAACAGAGGTCACCAGGCCTGAATCCACAATACCTGCTGGAAGATCTTTGGAAAGCATCACTTCAAACACGAAGGAAGACTCTCACCCAGGAGTCCTCTCCACCCTTCCACAGATGTCATTTCAGAATTCAACCGATCAGGTAAGTATGGAAAGCAGAAGATAACTGGGTAGTTCCATGACACCGAAAAAGCACTTACAGGTCTGGGGATGTGACTGGGTGGTCAAACACTGGCCTAGCATGTGCATGACCCTGGATTCAGTCATCAGTGTTGAAAAGAGCATGTGTGCCCTATCAGGACATCCCCAGGGTTATGATTTTAAAAAAGATGGTTACCCTGTTACCTCCCAGGAGGATTATATACTAAAAGCAAAATGAACTGAGCCCAAGACAGTGTCTCCCAGTGGATTGAGTGCCCACTGCAGTACTTGATGGCTCATTTCGATTTAAGACTCTTCTGTTCACCATTGGGTGAAGGATGCCTGCTAGCCTGCTCCCCTGTACCAGAGGTAAAGCCACTGAGACAAGGTGACTGGCAAGAATCCCATTCCCACCCATTCCCACTCCTACTGGTAAAAGTTCAAACCCTATTCATATGCAGCCTGGCACTTTCCCACTAAAACATCCCATTTGCTCCGCTTCCCATGGCGATGGAAGCTGAAGGTTAACACTTGTCCCAGCATCTTCTTCCACCAGGGAAGGGCCAGCCTGCAGTAGCTTAACCTAAGAATGGGAGTTTGGTTCACTTCCTTAAGTAAAAAGAAGCTAGAAATGCAGAGTAAATATCCAGAAGTGTTTGTAGATAAATTGCTAGAGCTTGTTAAGAGAATTTGGTGACGTTGCCCGACTCAAGATATGTGTGCAATAATGAGACACAGGCAAGTGACGTAGCAGACACCTTTATCCCAGTACTCAGCAGGCTGAGGCAGGAGGGTTGTAAATTTAAGGCCAGCCTGGACTGCATAAACATTAAGATATGCCATGATGTGACCCAGGTTACACTCTGGGTTCCAAAGTACCAAATGAGGTTATGTGTCTCTACAGCTGCCTATAGCTAGGATAGCATCCAGAAAGCCCAGCTTCCAGTGGGTCGTGGGATGGCAGCTACAGCTCACTCCCGCATCACCATCTTGTTTGCACCTCAGTTAGTCAAAGCCACAATACAGTGGTTGTCATACTAGGGTTCTTCTATAAGTGACCTCTCCCAGGAAGTCAGGAAGAACCTATGGAACCATGTGACCTTATGGTGTGTTGATGAGGTCGTCCAGCTTATGACAACTTGACACAGCTAGAGTCATCTGAAAGGAGAGAACCTCCGTTGAGAAAATGCCTCCATAAGATCCAGCTGTAAGACATTATCTTAATTAGTGATTGATGGGAGAGGGCCCAGCCCATTTTGGGTGGTGCCACCACTGGGCTGGCAGTCTTGGGTTCTATAAGAAAGCAGGATGAGCGAGCCACTCTGAGCAAGCCAGTAAGTGGCAGCATTTCATGGCCTCTGCATCAGCTCCTGCCTCCAGGCTCCTGCCCTGTTTGAGTTCCCATCCTGGCTTCCTTCGGTGATGGACTGTGATGTGGAAGTGTCAGCCTCTCCTCCTCAAACTGCTTTTCATCCTGGTGTGTCACCACAGCAGTAGAATCCCCCACTAAGACAGATGGGATCATGACCCGCTGACTATTCTCTATGTCTAACACAGCATCCACAGAGCACAGCAGGGACTTGGTAAATGTCTCTTGAAGACATGTGAGACATGCAGGCCCTACTCCAGAATTTAAACAAGTAGTGGGGTTTACATGGGGGTGAGTAAAGACTGGACTTCAAGTATTAAGCCTCGGAAGCTTTGGTCTCGCTTTTTTTTTTTGGGGGGGGGGGAAGTGTCTGACACCCCACCTCCTGCTACAAACTTTTTTTCCCTTTTGAACATGAACTCTGTTCCCCCATTGTTGAGTCTTGAACTCGGAACCTTGTATTTCTAGGTAAGCGCTCTGTGAACTCATTCCTATGATCTTACCAACAACCTCATCTGCCTTTATCCTATTTGTTCCATAAAACTCTTAACCACATCTTCTCTCATGTATGAAGGACGTGAAAATCAATTCCACCCACTAACAGGGATTCTCCCTAAAGTAAGAGCTCCTTTAGAGCCTGTAGTTCATGGAACTGAGAATATTATCCTTGGCCAGTGTTCATTAACATGGTATACCAAACTTCAAATGCATGAAAATAATTCTGTTATAAATCACTTTGATGAAATATGTTCTTTTCAGTTTTTATTACATTTATGTGTTTGTGTGTCTGGGAGTACGGGTGTGCACATGCCATGTGACTTACCAACCAGTCATTCCTAAGAGTGGGTCAGAGAACAACTCTTAGGAATCACTTCTGCCCTTCCTTCCTGTAGGTTCCAGGGATCCAACTAGGGTCCTTCAGTCTTAGCAGTAAGCACCTTTACCTACATCTCTCCAGCCTGACATAAATCCTTTCTTCCCAGCAGGTCATAGATGAGACAGCAGGGAAGCTGATCTCAACAATTCCTGATTTTCAAGCTCACAATGAATTCCTGAAAGCTTGCACCATCCTCCAGAGACTTAGAGACGTCCGGCCAACATCTCCCACACCAGCTCAGGTAAGCAGGGGGTTGGGGGGAAGGTGACACAGCAGCAGGAAGGGAAGGGACCCCCTGTAGAACTGGGCATCATGAAAGTACCTGATGGGAACAGAGTTGAGTATTTCTAAGTCTGAAACGAGTGTGTTGACAGTGGTATTCTCAGAGTCACGGTTTGCAGTACACAGCTTACCGTAGATACAGTGGGATGGCCTTGGGACAGGCATCAAAATCAGAATGCTTCTGACCTTTCGCTTTTCTGCATCCATGCTCGATAACATCACTTCCTCATGACTGATCAGGCTGCTACTTATGCATAAAGAGGTAGTAGCATGAGAAATTCTGTTCTTTTTTCTGTTTTACCACAATAAGCATGTCTATGTTACCAGACCCTCCCATGCCAATCATTTGTCAATAAAATGCCATATAGGCTCGCCTATAGACCAGTCTTATAAAGGCATTTTCTCCATTGAGAGTCCCTATTCTCAATACCTCTAGCTTGTACCAAGTTGACAGCCAACCAGCCAGCCAGCAGGTAAAGAGGGAGTGTACTGATTTCTAAGGGAGCCAGGCCTCCCTTGATGAGCTTGCACATTTGCAGCTGTGTTTATGACTTCGCTTCTGTTGAGTCTTCAGACTTGGCCCTGAACATGTGTTTCCCCATTGAGATGCGCCCCTCTGCTTCAGTCTTTCTCTGGATTGCTCGGTGCCTCCGTTCCTCCTACCACTCCTCACACCACTCCTCACCTTCCTTGTTAGAGGACTTTATTGTTAAAGCTAACTGTTATCATCCGTACTTCAAATGCTTTATGCCAGCATCTTAGTTTTAAATTTCTGTATGTCTTTGGTTTTGTCTATTTGCTTGCTTGTTTGTTTTTCTGAGACAAGGTTTCTCTGTGTACCCTTGGCTGTCCTGGTATTCACTCTGTAGATCAGGCTTTGATTTTAACAGACGATTTTAGGTTTGACTTGATTTGGTTTCTCATTCGTTTGTTTGTTTGTTTTTGGTTTTCGAGATAGGATTTCTCTAACAGCCCTGGCTGTCCTGGGACTCGTTTTGTAGACCAGACTGGCCTGGAATTCACAAAGATCCTCCTGTCTCTGCTTCCAGAGTTCTGGGATTGAAGATGTGGGCCACCATGCCTGGCTCACAGAAGCTTTTAATAGCTATAACTCTGAAAGAAAATAACATTTCATAATAAAGATAGGAAAAGCTACAGTGGGTATCCAGAAATCTTGGAATCAAACTTGCCTCTTGTTTCCTTCCGGGTAGTTAGGTGAGTGATCGGTTGGTTTGAGACAGGGTCTCAGTGTTCATCCCGAGCTGGCTTTGAACTTACTTTACCTCCTGTCTCTGCCTCCTGGGCTCCAGGATTACAGGCATGCACACTGCCCCTGACTTCTTAGCCTTTCTTTACTCCCCTTGTTTTATATGAGAACAGTGTACATAAAAGAGAACTGATGTTTTCTGTTGTTCTTAGAACTTCTCCCCTTGCCAGGTGGAGACGGCACATGCCTCTAGTCCTAGCACTCGGGAGGCAGAGGCAGGTGAATCTCTGTGAATTAGAGGCCAGCCTGGTGTTCAGAGTGAGTTCTAGGACAGCCAGGGCTATACAGAGAAACTATGTCCCAAAAATAACAAACAAACAAATTCTCCCTGGTCTCTGTTTTCTGAGTATCTTGAAGCTTTTGATGCTACCGCCCATGCCTTCAAAATGAGCTCACCTGCTCAGCATCTGGCCTGACATTGCTCTTCTCCCTAGCATCCCTCTTTTAGGTTTGTTCTCTTAAATAGCTTGTCTACTTAGCACTCAACACTCAACACAATCCTCCCCCATAGGTGGTACACAATCATATATTTTCCTGGCCTGCCAAATGGCAATGCCGCCTTTTATAAAATACATTTCAACTGTATAACAGATATTGCACTGTGGGGCTGGGGAAATAACTCCCTTGGTGAAGTGCCTGGGCACAAGCTTAAGAACCCGGACACACATCTGCAAGACCCTTGTGAGAGCCAGGTGTGGCCCTGCCCTGGGCGGAAACCTATGAATGGAGAGGTGGAGACAGGTGGAGCCCTAGAGTTTGCTGGTCAGCTATTCTAGCCATTTGGTGAGCTCCAGGTTTGATGAGAGGCCCTGTCACAAACAAACAAACAAAAAACTCAAAACAAACAAACAAACAAACAAAAATGACAGAGAGCAACTGATGAAGACACATGACATCAGTCTGGGTTCTAGATACACATACACCCACATGAATATGTGCATGAACCACACATACATACATACATACATACATACATACATGGAAGGAGGGAATGATGGAAGAAGGGAGGAATGGGAGAAGGGAAGGAGGGAGGGAAGGAAGGATGGCAGGGTAGGAAGGAAATACTGTTCTGCTTATAAGAAGATACAAATAAATCTGAAAGAGTCGCAAACAGCCACATGTGTCCCCTTTCTGATATCCCCAGGTCAGTGTGGCCAGTTTACTCACTGGCCTGAGTGAACAGCTGCTGACACTCCTGTTTCAGAAGGACAACAGTTGGAGCTTCCAGACTCCAGCAGTCAGCTGCCCCTCCAAGCCCATTGGAAGTCCAATAACAGCTGAGAAAAGCAGTCATCAGATGGCTCAGAACGACACGGAGCAGGTGGGTGTGCGGTGTGCACGTGGCCGGCTCTGCCAGGAACTCTCTCTTTAACGTTCAGTCCTATAGCCTCTCCTCAGGCTGCCAAAGAGAATTCTGCTGGAGAAACTGCTGAGCCTCTGCTCTCTTCCTCCAGCCCACCAGTGGGCAGAGACTGCTGAGTGCTCACTTCACTTCAGAGTCAGCTGAAGCTGACTTAGCGAAGCTTGCCAGAAACTACCTCAGCGAGAGAGGCAACACCCTTAGCTCTTAGGAAAATGCAAAGATGCTGGATAGAGTGGTGCACACCAGTACTTGGGAGGCTGAGACAGAGGGAGAACAACTTCAAGGCCAGCCTGGGCTGCAGAGCAAAGCATTGTTGGCAGGAGAGAGAATGGGAAGGAAGGAGGAAGGAAAAAGAGAGGGTGATACCAATTCACACCTAAAAAGGATGGGCAAGCCAGGTATGGCCACACATATCTGTGATGACAACACTGGAGGCAGAGGTGGGGTGGGGGTGGGGTGGGGGCAGGGGTAGAGGCAGAGAGG